TTTTTGATCTGCTGTTGAATGCTCTTGCATTGAGCAATACCTACTTACGAATAATATACACATTTACGCTGCTAAATTAGGGACGGCTAGCACAGATAGCCCGCGTGTAGCTTTGCGCGAAAATAAAAACAAACAAACAAATCTTATAAAGATAATGTGCGATCGCTCTAGAGAGGAAAAGGCAATAACGAGATTCTCCTGAAATAGACTAGAATGAATTTCCATTTCAACTTAATAAATATATCGAATCAATAGTGACGTCCTTATAAACTTAAGGTCAATAATATGTGAGATAGTGATTACGGCTTTGTAGCTATATTTTTAGTTGACTTAAAAATGCTAGCTCGCATGCCACCTAGTATATATATTGAATATTAAACGAGTCATTTTTATGTTAAAAAATCAACACGAGGCTTCCCTAGCGGTGAGGTTTGGATACTAATTTCGTGTATAATTACGTAAAACAAATATTAATTGTCATGTGATACGTAACCTCGTAGCTTGCAAAGGTTTTGTTTTGGATTTTGCGCACAGTTACACAAGGGTTATCTACTCTAGCAGTCCCTAATTTAGCAGTCATAGATTAGAGGGAAGGCAGGTATTCAATACCACCTACCGCCAACTCTTGGGTTACTCTTTTGTTAATGAATAGTGGGATAAACCATCACATTATAACGATCAACCGGATTTCGAGCACAGTTACACGAGGGCTATCTGCTCTAGCAGTCCGTAATTTAGCAGTTATAGATTAGAGAGAATGCAGGTAGTCAACACCACCTACCGTCAACTCTTGGGTTTCTCTTTTACCAATGAATAGTGGGATTAATCATCACATTATAACGCCCTCCACTGCTGAAAGAACGAGCATGTTTGGTGGGACGGGGATTCGAACCCTCGATCCTCACATTGGGAGTCGAGCGCCTTAACCACCAGCCCATACTAAGTTAACAGTCATTGGCACAGGATGTAGTAGATGTGGCGTGGTTTACATCTTATGCATTCTTCTTTACTTTAATTTGGAAGTTCTTACTAGCAATAACCAAATACCACTCTAAATACGATGTTCGTTGTCCTAGTTTGTATTTACTGCTATATATTCGTTTCATCTCATATATTTGTGTATTCATTTCATACTTTCTCTTTTCAGACTCACCAAACAACATACCTTAATGAGGTTCTTCTGCAATTATATGATGTAATACGTTTAACCCAGTTCTTTATCACAAATTTACTGACCAGTGAATGACATTAGTTTCATACAGTAGACCTCATTAGCGTTTTCTAAAAGACAGGTCACACTTCTGACTCATTGATTGGTTTCATAGCTTCAGTAAACATGACTTATCTCTCTAAAAAAAAAATCGACTTACCCCAGATCGACGTGTAAGATAGTTGTACAAAAAGCTTCTCCGGATTGAACATTGAACAAATATAGCCAGTTTTTGAAATTTAGAACCTACACCTAACCCATTACTTACCCATGTGGTGACGTCATCAGTATTTCCCTACTCCCGATTTCATTGTTGCATTATTTAAAAAGCTTCCCACACACGGACGTACACACGTTACTTTTTCAATGACATAGATGTTTATTAACTCCAACATAAAAAATCCTACAAATACTAAACCTAGCGAATAGACTATACAACTTTAAAATATTTATTGGTCGAAAGATTTTTTAAGAATTATCGTGCAAAGCTACAAAAAAAGAAGAGTATTTACGCATAGATAATCCCAGTTTTTAACTGATGTAGTAGAGGAAATGCAGCTAGTAAACAGTATCCACCACCAACTATTGTCTGATCGAATATAGGGATATGACTGTCACTTTTATAGCACAACCACGACTCACACAGTACTAGGTGTTTTTGCAGCAACGGGACGCTAACTATACTTATTGGATTCACTCTCTGGACCCAGAAACCACAAACTATCCACTATTTGGGCCCAGAAACCACAATCTATCCACTCTTTGAACCAAGAAAACAACACCCATCCACTCTCTGGACCCAGAAACCACAACCTATCCACTATTTGGACCCAGACAACACCACCCATCCACTCTTTGGACCCAGAAACCACAATCTATTCACTCTTTGGACCAAGAAAACAACACCCATCCACTCTCTGGACACAGAAACCACCACCCATCCACTCTCTGGACCCAGAAACCACCACTAATCCACTCTCTGGACACAGAAACCACCATCAATCCACTCTCTGGACACAAAAACCACCACTAATCCACTCTCTGGACCCAGAAACCACCACCAATCCACTCTCTGGACCCAGAAACCACCACCCATTCATGCTCTGCCTGGAAGAGGAATGAAAAGTGTATGAAGAATATTTTATTTGATATTTCTAATAAAATTCTCAAAGATTATGTGAGATGTTCATACAGTCCGCAATAACTTAAGCACAAAATCATTCATTATCATTGTAAGATACACATACAACTGCAGTATTTTTTCTTTTGTGTGTGTGTGTGTGGCTCATGTTATTAAGGGCCCTGTAACCAACAAAGTCATGCTCACAAGGATTTGGCACATAAAGTGTCTTAAAAAACAACAACAGATACTCAATTTCTTTACAGAAAACGAACTTTCATTGGTTTCACTAGACTAGTGAAGTGAAACAGTACGAGCGGGTTTTTCTTCTTCTGACAAGTGAAGTCCCATGATGGAATCCTAAT